TCATGGTTTCGGTTCTGTTACATATGGACAAACCTGGTTGAAAACAAACGTGTCTTATCGTGGAATTGGAGTTGATGTTAATGTTCAAACACTAATGGATTTAACCAGCTTAAGACTTCTAGTTAATTACGCCTTCTATAGTTATATACCTAAGACGTTAGTTATATATACGAATCGTAAGGTTTTATATTATGTAAAATGGTAGGTGGAAAATAAAGCCAGATGAAATGCCAATAGCGCATCCTTACGTGGAGTTTAAGAGAGGCATGCTTTTGGAGATCGAGCCAACAAGTTAAATTCATGCATGAAGATTAGCTGCTTTGATAAGGGATCCATCAAATCTTAGTTGGCATTTTTCGAATGTCCAATACTATTGTATTTTAATAATTTGCTTCCGTTATTCCCATGTACTATCTCTACTCATTCTCTAGTCATAGAGTTATGTACATCGATTAGTTTGGGATTTTTAAACGAAACGAGTATTTTCTTTATATGCAGGCCCGGCCCTCGACACATTTTTATGAAACAAATGTATTGAATCCTAGGAAATGCTTTTTTTTTTTGGTCAACTGGATCTTTGGTCTATCTTGATCATTTTTGTTGGTGTCAAATTCATGTAATTAAGGATTTTGCGCTAATGGATCCGAACGCAAGTTATATTAATATGAATCCAGTATTTTGCACATAGAAAGGAGTAAAATTCAGTGTTCAAACCCACTGAAATTGGAACACATATGGATTTCAACTACAATCCATTTGTATAAATATTTTATTTGACTTTTCGTGAAAAAGTTACGAACCAGACATATAGTATTAACCAAATGTAATTAGAAAAATACAGAATCATAACTATAGCCTCTTTACACGGAATCGAGTTTGTAATGTTGTGTAGATTTTCATCTGTCTTTACATAAAAACTCTAGTAAGAGAGAGTTTAGAGGGGAGGTTACCATTTTGACCCTTAAAAGATTTGTCGAAGACATACTTATTGTTAAGAGAAGAAGGGTTAACTTGCATGAAAAGGTAATTACCAGCAAAGAGATCACCAAAGTGTGATTGACTCTCCTTCAACCTCTTCAATATTTTTAAAATCCCAATTTTAACCCTACTTGCTTTCTTCCTCACAAATCCCCTAAGTCTCCGGATCTTAACTCTAACCCTAATTCTCCTTCTTCCTCCCAATGACACCACTCTCTTGAACCTACATATAACAAAAGTTTCATTATAAAAACACTTC